ACATCAAGCGGGCAGCCGAGATCTACGGAGTCACCCACACCCGCAGCATCTACCAGAAGGCCATCGAGGTGCATGCCGCAGGGGGGCCAGGCCCAGGGCTGGCCATCCCAAGAGCATAGAAGGGGTCCTGGTGGGCAGGAGGGAGGAGGCCTTCTGGAAGCCCAGGGAACCCTCTGAGCTCACCCTCCTGCCTCACGCCCTGCCCTCCCCGCCCCCCCTGGTACCCAGGTGCTGTCGGATGAGCACGCCCGTGAGATGTGCCTGCGGTTTGCTGACATGGAGTGTAAGCTCGGGGAGATTGATCGCGCCCGGGCCATCTACAGCTTCTGCTCCCAGATCTGTGACCCCCGGGTAGGGCTGGATCCAGGTGGGGGGAGCAACGGGCAGTGGGGGGCTGCATCCCGTGCAACGGCTCATGCACATGCACCTCCACCCCGCCCCTCCATAGACAACCGGGGCCTTCTGGCAGACGTGGAAGGACTTTGAGGTCCGGCACGGCAACGAGGACACCATCAAGGAGATGCTGCGGATCCGCCGGAGCGTGCAGGCCACCTACAATACACAGGTCAACTTCATGGCCTCACAGATGCTCAAGGTGTCAGGCAGCGCCACGGGCACTGGTGAGCACCTGTGGGCTGCCCCTCACCTTGGCTGCGCTCATGCTGGGCACCACGGTCACTGGTCTTGGGCCATACTGACCCCATGTCCGTCTTCTGCCCAACCTGGGTCTCCTGGGTTTGGGGGCTTTGGGGCCAAAGTTGGCTACCCCTCTCAGACTGGGAACTCCTTGAAGGCTGGTTGCTCAGGAACCAGGGTGATGGCAGTGTCTGACTACCACCCTCCCTCACCCCTAGTGTCTGACCTTGCCCCTGGCCAGAGTGGCATGGATGACATGAAGCTGCTGGAGCAGCGGGCTGAGCAGCTGGCAGCCGAGGCTGAGCGGGACCAGCCCCCACGGGCCCAGAATAAGATCCTGTTTGTGAGGTGAGGGCCAGGACTAGGAGGGGGACAGGTCCCTGCAGGCCCGAGCCTGCTTTTCTTGGGGGGCGTGGGGTGGTGGGGAGCTGGGCACCACTAAGGCAGTGCGGCCCGCACCCCAGGAGCGACACCTCCCGGGAGGAGCTGGCAGAGCTGGCACAGCAAGTCAACCCTGAGGAGATCCAGCTGGGTGAGGATGAGGACGAGGACGAGATGGACCTGGAGCCCAACGGTGAGGGGCCAGCCCAGTGGGGGCACAGGCAGGGCAGGGGGTGGCTTCTCCAGGAGAGTGACCTCCTCCCTGCCTACGCCCGCAGAGGTCCGGCTGGAGCAGCAGAGTGTGCCAGCGGCTGTGTTCGGGAGCCTGAAGGAAGACTGATCACCCCCCAACGCCCTCCCCTTCCCCCCACCCCCCTCCCCTCCCCCAATACAGCCTCCATTTGTACGTCATTGTCTGAGCCTCCTTCCTGCCGTCCAGGTGCCCGGAGGGATTGCCAGCTCAGGAGCGCCCTGGCCCTGGGCCTGGATTGGCTGGTGTGGGAGGTGGGGCAGCCGGGCCCCGGGCCAGGCACATGCCCCGCCTATCCCTGCAGAGCCAGTTCTGGACGCTAAGAAGCCAGTTTCTGTACTGCCTGAGGTCCTGCCCAGGAGCCTCCTTGAGCCCTGAGCCTAGGGGGACCTGGCTCCCAACTGCTCCCCTAGGGCTCTTCATCCCCAAGCAGCAGCCTCCCCTCCACAAACCTTTCCTCCCAGGCCAGGCCTTATCCAGCTCTGTGAACTTATTAGCAAGACGATACTTCAGTCCCTGGACAGGGGCCAGGAGCCAGCCCTTATCCACAGGCCATGGCCAGGGTGTGGTCCTTAGTCCTAAGCTCCAGGAAGCCATTAGCAGGCTCTAAGCTATTAAAGGGTTTTAAGCATCAAGGGATGTAATCAGATTTCTGCTTCGAACAGGTCACACAGGCTGCTTTGTGGGCAGGTGGCAGCTGGGGACATGGGGAGGCCTGGGCTGCTGGCCTAGGGGGTGGGATGTGTAATAGGGCTGGGCCCAGCCTGGCTCAAGGTTGCCACATAAGGCCTGCCTCTGAGGTGTCCAGTGGCCAGGCTGAGGAGGCAACTGGATCCTCAGACTCAGAGCTCAGAGGAGAGAAACACGGAATCCCTGGGCCAGAGGCAGTAACTGAGCCTAGAAACCTAGGCAGGCTGGCTGGGGGACACAGATCAAGTTAGAAGTTGGCCCAGGACCAAATATCAGGATAGGCCAGTAACAACAGCTACACAGAGTAGGAAAATTAAGCCTGGGGCGGGGGGATACGGGGAGGGCTGGTCAGAAGCCTCACGTGCCCAGGAGGTCAGTTGAGAGGTGGCTGGGAACGATCCATGGGGAGGTGTTGGCAGGGAGTCCGTACAGACCTTGGCAGAAGCTGCATCAGGGCCATCGAAGGGGTGGAAGACACACGAGTTGGTTCAAGAAAGAATAGGAGGCCAGAAACCTAGCCAGTGGGTGCAGAGGCTCTCAGGTGACAAAGCTCAACATCTCTTTAAATTATTTTATTCAAGATGGGGGTGTTGGACAGACAAGGGGACTGAGCTGAGTCCCTGAATCTCCCAGCTCAGCCCCCACAGCAGGGCAGGACTCAAAGTCGGGAGTGGGGACTCCAGCCCCACCCAGACACAGTTGGGGACAGACGGGACACAAGAATACCAACTGTCCTCCACGGGGGCAGTGGCCAGAGCACCTGGGTCCCGGCCCACAGACCACCCAGGACAGGGCTATTTGGGGGTGCCACTGCCTTTCTTGGGAGTCGTGGGTTTCTTGGTCTGCCAGAGGTGTCCCTGGATGGTGAAGGCATCGACGCTCATGGACATGGTCTTGGCAGGGATCTGGGTGAAGCGCTTGCGGTCTGAGTTGTACTTGTAAATGCCCTCTACCATGGCGGGTGTGACTGTCCGGGGGCCGTAGCCCGCCAGCCGCGACAGCTCCTCTGTCTCCCCCGACAGCGTGTACAATGCTCGGAACTGGCAGCTTGAATCTCGAAAGAGGATCAGGAAGTGGTTGGCCTTGCTCTTCTCAATTTCCTGGGGGTAGCGGAAGTGGTTAAGCTCGAGGGGCTGGGCTGCCCACCCACCTGCAGCCCCCCAAGCCGGCGCAGCTCACCTCGAGAATGCGGTTCTTCTGCGGTTCGTTCACCTTGCCCGCCAGGCAGCAGTGTGCCAGGGCGTTGTGGATGATGAACTTGTTGGACTTGGCGCTGGGCTCCTTGTACAGCCGTGGACCTAGAGGGTGGGGCAGTCAGCGGGGACAAGGATGACCAGGGGACGGGTGGGGCCCATCACTGACATCACGTGATACCCCGCTTACCTGTGTACTCGGGCACCGACGCTGGGGAGGAGGCGTTGCTGCCATTCTCCCAGTCGCGTTCGCGGCTACCAGGCAGGCGGCTTGGGGACATGAGACCGGACGGGGATGGAGCCCTGTAGCGGGGAAGGAATGGGATAGAGGTGGGGTCAGTGGTGGGCAAAGCCCCCCAATATGCAGAGGGACCAGGGAAAAGGCAAGCCCAGCACATGCTGCAGAGGAGACGTACACGTACAAAGCATATCCTCCCGAGTCCACGCAGTGCCGTCTCCTGTGTGCTCAGGCACACCTAGTGCTCGGTGCACAGGGGCACATTCCTGGGTCCCGTCTGCCAGGAGCAGACAACCCCACTTGCACATGTGCACACACACCCTCCCATCTCTCCAGGGGCACATACAACACAAGCCATAGCACCCTCTAGCTTCATGCAGATGCCCGCACACAGCAACACACAGCAGGGGCCACCTGGCACGTGACCCCCCACCTGCCCAGGCTGAGCTCACCTAGACGTGGGCCTCTTCACCCCAAGATTATTGGGGGCCTCATTGGCCACGGTGGACAGTGACAGAGTGGACTGGGAGTAGACCTTGCTGAGGCGAGAGCCTGGGAATAGAGAGTGCAGGGTCAGTCCCTCCCTGAAGCCCCTGCATCTCCACAGATGCCGAGGGGGCTGGGCCCACCCAAGACCTCTCACCCCTCTGCAGCCCCACTTGAGTCTGACCTCCCCCTACCTATGGGGGGAGCAGCACTAGGTCAGCCCCCACTAGAAACACTGCAACCCCAAACCTACTCAATGGGGCCTCGCTAAGCTAGGAAGGGAAAAGCATTCACCCCACTATAGCCCCCCACATCCCTGTGCAAGTTTTTACCCAACAGTCAGGGTCAAATGCTGCCTGAGATCTCTATCACCCCCTCATACCCCACCCTGTACCCCTGCATGTATCTCCCTCCCCATGTCCCCATGGGGGCCTCACCCAGCAGGCCGCGGGCTGGACTTCTCGCCAGGGCAGAGTCATCGCAGCAACCAGAGCGAGGCCGGGGGGCCCTTCGCCCGCCCCGACCTGGCCCCCCAGTCCCTGAGGTCCTGGGCCGCAGCACCTTATCGAGGTCATCCATCAGCTTCAGCTGGGCCCGGCGCTCGTACTCCAGCCGTGTGAACTCCCCCCGCCGGGGGCCCACCTCCTCCTCGGCTGGGGCCCGGGCAGCAGGGGCTGGGGTCACTGCAGGGACTGTGGTTGCTGCAGGGACCGTGGGAGGTGTGGGGGCGGCAGGGGCCGGGCAGGGGGCATCCTCCTGGGCCAGCCTGCAGATCAAGGGCAATCGGGCAGTCAGAACAGGTCATGGAGGCACCAGGGGCTGGAAGACCAAGGGTCAGGGGTCCCCGGACAGGCTGGGCCCAGCCTCACCTCGCGACCTCCTCCCTCCGCTGCTCCTTCTCTGCCTCCTGCCACTGTTTACGCCGCCGCGCCTCCTCTGCCCGCCGCTGCTGCCGCTCCAGCAGGCTGGCCCGCTTCTGGGCCATCTCATCCTCAGGCTTGTCTTCATCCTGGGGGCAGATGCGAAATCCAGCTGGCCACCCCTCCCCTGATACAACTGGAGTCTTATCTTCCATCAGCCCAGCCTGCCAGACACATTCATCTGTCCTTTTAATTTTTTTGGCAGCTGGCCGGTATAGGGATTCGAACCCTTGACCTTGGTGTTCTCAGCACCATGCTCTGACCAACTGAGCTAACTGGCCAGCCCCTCACCTGTCCTTTTGAACTCATACAGTAATTGCTCTAGAGGTATTTAGAAGTCGGTGCCTACTTTATGCACAGCCTCAAGCTGGGTACTGGGCCACAACAGGAATAGGGCAGACCCGAGTGCTATTCACACAAAGCGCTTAATCCAGCAGAGAAGGCAAATATCGCAGACAGTGGTGGACGCTGGGAGGTGTGTCGGGCACTGCCAGTCTACCTAGCCTGGGGCACCCAGTGAGGCTTCCTGGAGGAAGCACCCCTGGAGAATGATCAAGACTTAACCAGGCAGGGGTGAAGGGTGAGGTCAGTGTTCTGCACAGAACAAGCCACAAGTGCAAAGGCCCTGAGGTCAGAACAAACCTAGCAGGTGTGTGGAACCACAGGGATGCCAGTATGACCGCGACACAGAGCTGGGAGAATGGTACAGAATGAGGCCAGAGGTGAGGGGAGCCCAAAGCCCTGGAGAGGACTTTTATCCCAACAGCAAAAGAGAGCAAACGCCCTGACAGCTCGGTGGAAAAAGGCCAGGTGTTGGGAGAAAGCAGTAGAGACCAGTCGGGGTGACTGCAGGTGTCCAGGTGAGAGATGACGTGGCCCAGGCTGGGGGGCCATGAGGATGGAGAATGGCTGCACATGGGACAGGGTCAGGAAGGGAACTGGTGGGACTGTGCTGGGGGAAGAGGGTGAAGGAGAAAGCATGGGCGGGAGATGCCGTGGGAGAACCTAGCCCCGTCTGTCCACCCACCACCCATGTCCATCTGTCCATCACCTACCCACCCATCCATCCATCTGCCCACCCCTGCCTGTCTGATCAACTGCTTGTCCATCTGTCTACCCATCTAGCCTCCTTCTGTCTAGCCACCCGCCCACCTATCTGTCCATCCGCCCAACCACCCATCAGTAAACTACTATCTGTCCACCCACTGGCATCCATCCCTGCACCCACCTTTCCATCCACCCACCACCCACCCATCTCCAGGAAGTCACCACTGCCTGGCCATTCATCCATCTGCTCACCTGTCCCCTCCTTCACCTGCTCAGGTGACTCACCTTATAGAAGAACCCGAGCCCAGTCCGGGGCTCTCCCTCTGAAGATGCCTCTTCTTCTAGGGAATCCTCAGCACCAGGGGGGCTCCCGTCTCCCTCGTCCTCAGCGGGGGGCTCTTCCAGGCTGCCCAGTGGGATCTCAATGAGACCGGGCCGGGCAGCAGGCTCGTCGGGAGGCGGCCCCTCCGCCAGGAGGATAGAGGATCGCGTCTGCACGGGCACCTGACTGGGTGAGAACTTGCGCAGGTGGGGGAGGCTGTCGACGTCGTGGGGTGGTGTGAGCACCCTTGTCAGGGGCGCCAGCCGCAGCTCCGCCGGCCGCGTGTGTTTGGGGCTGCGGGGTGCTGGGTTGGGCCCCGGCCCGGGGCTGCGCCGGGTGGCTGGGGTGCGCCGGACCGGGCTGGGGGATGCAGCTTTGGACCCTGTCGTGGGACCGGGGATGACCCACGCCGCGGGGGGCGGGGCAGGTCCAGGGGCCTCCGGCGGGGCCAGAAGCCTCTGCTGCTGGTCCGTGAGCCTCTGCATGTCCCGTTGCAGCGAGCTCAATGCAGCGCTCAGCTTGCTGACCGCCCGGTTGTACTCCCCCAGGCCCTCGGGGGGCACCGGGCCCAGCTCTGGCGAGAAGGTCACTGCCTTGGGCCGTGAGGACGGCTCACCACCCTGACCCTCGCCTGCTGGCCGCTCCCCACCAGGGACCAGGCCTGGCTCAGCCTCTGCCTCGGCCTCCCCGGCAGCCTCCCGTGGCTGCACCTGCAGGAAGGCACTTTTGCCCAGTCGTTGGCGGTGCTTGGCAAAGATGGCCTCGATCCGCCGCTTTTGAGCCTCTATAGCCCGGCGCTTTTCCTCCAGCCGGGCTCCCAGCTCACTCATCTCTGAGCTCAGGGCCTCCGGTGCTGCCAGAGTGGACGTGGGGGACCCCGCTCCGGCCTCAGCCTCGGCCTTCACCAGCTGCTTCTTGCGTTCAGCAAAGCTGGTCATCTTCACTTCGGTGTTGGTGGCTGCAGGGGACGAAGCCACCACCTTCGAGGACTCCTCAGACGGGGCCAGTGGTTTTGACACCTCCCCTGCCAAGCAGGGAGATGGTTTTGAGGGTGTCTCAGGGTGGGGGAAGTAGGCAGGTGCTTTGGCGAGTCCATCAGACTGTGTTTTTGAGGCCCCCTCGAGAGGGTAGGAGGAGGCCAGTGGTGGTTTGGGTGGCCCCTCGGGGGAGTGGAGGTAGAAGCTGCCATCGGCAGCCCCGTCTGGGAGCAGCCGGGGCTCGGCACTGTGGATGATCTGCAGGGCCTCCTCGATAGTAGGCAGGTCGCCAGGCTCCGGGGATGGCTGGGCAGGGGTCCGGGCTGGCACAGGACGTGGAGGCCCCAGACTGTCGGAACTGACAGAGCGGAGCAGGACGGGGTCTCCCATGACGACATCCACATCGCTGTCCAGGCCAAAGGGGGTGCTGAATGACACAGCCTGGGAGAGGGGACGGCTGGGCGGCCAGAGGGAGGGGTCAGCCCCTGGGACCAGCCTCGGCCCCAACCCGCCCCAGCCTGCTCCACCGCCAGCCCTGGCCCTGAGACGCACTTACCTGAGCTGACGGTTCCAGGCCTTGCCAAGGGCCTCCATGTGGGACAAGGACGGGGAGGACTTCAGGGAGCCTGGGGAGAGGCAATGAGTGGTCACTATGGGGTCACTGGGGATCCTGGGTGGGGATGGCCAGGGTCTGGGGGCAACCTCTGTTGAGTCAGTTAAGTCACTGATGGGTCATTATGTGGTCTGGTCAGACCAGAGGTTTCTAGAAATGGATACCTGCGGCCATTCAGTATCACTAAGGGGTCCTATGGAACCACTGGGGAAGTCATTCTTGGGGTCACCTTAGGAGTACCCAAGGGGGACCCAATGGAGGGCCACTGTGTGGGTCATGAGGAGACAATGGGGTAGTCTTTAGGTGGGGGAGTCACAGGAACAGCCACCCGCCCTTACCTGTGGATCCTCGGAGTGGGGACTGGGGGCCACCAGGTGACAGAAGCGGGTGACGGAAGTTGAAGACAGGAGAACTGCCAAGAAACATACTTCAGTCCCAGGACCCCTACTTCCTCCCTCTGCCCCTCCTAGGGGCAGACACTAGGGTGTCCCCCAGGCCCATCCCAGTGCCCAGCTAGGAGGAAGAGCCCAGTGCGGGGACCGTACCTGCCACCACTGCTGATCTGAGGTGGGGAGGCCTCAGTGCCCCGGGGGGAGGCGGCTGCAGCACAGAGAAGAGAGTCAGGCAGGACTTGGCCTCCCCACACCCACCCAGACCCCAGGCTGGGCCTCACCATGACCATCAGGCAAGTCCTTGGCCTGTACAAAGTCGGGCTTCAGCACCTCAAAGCACATGAACATCTCAGCCAACAGAACCACCAAGTTGACCTGGAGGCAGGAGGTGGAGTCAGCTGAAGGAACACACAGCCCTGGACACCTGCGTCAGCCCACTGTGCCCACAGATGGCCTTACCTTGAGGGGCGGTGGGACATAGAGCAAGTCCTCGAGGGACAGCGGACAGCCACTAGGAAGGCGGGAGGCACAGAAATCCTGCACCAGCTGGAGGTTGTAGAGGCTGTCCGCCACAGACATAGGGTCCTTGAGGCATACCTCTGTCAAGACAGGATACCTGGGTCCCCGGCTCTATGGGACTGAGCACGGGGACCCCAGGGAAGCCAAGGCCCAGAAGCCAACATCCGTGGAGGACCTCCTACGGCCTGGCTTTGTGCCAGGTGCCCTTCAAGAGGAGGATACTCTGATAGACCACTCCTCAGCTCTTTTTGTCTGCCTGGAATGCTAGTCCCCCAAAAACTCAACTCAAAAAGCTTTTCCTATACCGGCCTGTTAGCTCAGCTGGTTAGAGCTCAGTGTTATAACACAAGGTCAAGGGTTCAGATCCCCGCACCAGACAGCCACAAAAAAAAAAGAAAAAGAAAAAACGCTTTTCCTGACCAGCCATCACCCTTTGGGGCACTTAATATCCAAAAGGGACTTCTGGATAAACTTGGCATCTTCCTCCCTGTGAGGTCAGGAGTGTGTTTCTATTTGTTCTCGCTGGATCTATTTGGCCTAGCGCCCAAAATGGGGTCTGGCCCAAAGCCTGCCCTCGATACATGTTATCTACTGCAGGAATGAATTCTATGAAGCACGGAGAGGTCTAGACACTTGTGCGAGGTCACACAGCTAATGAGGGAAAAAGAGAGATGCAAACTGCCAATTCTGGAAGCTGCACTCATAACCGCTCATCCTACAAGTTGCACGAGCCTGGGGATGAGGACACAGGATGGACACCCAGCTCCCCAGGATGGGGTCTGGCCCAGGCCCATTCACTCACCCTCAAGTCGCAACAACTGGGGACAATAGCAGTGGATTGTGGCAGCCAGTGCGGCCCCACTGGCCAGGTCCTGGAGGTTAGTTACAGTTGGAAAGCAGGGGGCGCGTCGGGCCACAGCGCGGTCCTTGCGGTATCGGATCTGTGGATAGCAGCCAGGTCAGGTCAGTGGTCAGGCCAGCCCCCCAGGTCAGCAGTCATGCAGGCTGGGCGGGGAGACCTGGGGTTTCCGCCACGACGGGGCGGGAAGCCGGGGGCCCCAGAGCCAGAGTGGGGGGCCAGCCTGGAGCAGGGGAGGGGCAGCAGCGAGAGGCAGAGGAGGTGTCTGCGAGCAGCCAGGCCAGCGGCAGGGGCTGGGGACAGGGACTCCTGGGACCCTGGGGTGGGGGATACATTACCATGGGGGGTTTGCTCCCCGACTCCTTTAAACAGAAGGCAATTGCGTGCTGGGGGGAGAGGAGCAGCCGTCAGCAGGGCGGGAGGGGTGCTGACCTGCTAGGTCCCCAAACCCACCTCCGGGGGAGGGGGTGGTCCTGACCCTTGCCCTGAGCCCTGGCCATCCAGCTCCCTGACTGTGCTCTGGCCGGCTTTGGGGACCCCAGCACCTCCCAG